AGGAATCCTTAAGTAACGGTGTGGTTGGTCCTCTGCAGTGGTAGTCTGATCCAAGACAAGTGCTTAACTCCCAGCCTGTAGCTGTTACATTGCACCGTGAGGGATTGCCTCAGTAAATTGAGCTCCGAGGAGCAGAACTAAAGCTTCTCTGTTTTAAGGACTCACTCCATTGACTTCCTTGGGAGCTGGATCGGCCTCCATGTGATTTAGCCATTAAGCCAAATTGAATCTTCACTAGCTGTCAAAAGCACTAGATGTTAGTTAGACGAGGAGCAACCAGTTGTTGTAGGAGAACTCTGACCTCTCGCTGCTGGTCCAGAACGTAGTCATAGGCGGAAGGTTTTGCTTGTGGTATGCGCAATTGCCTTAATCACCTACTCCTTGGCAAGCGAATGCAGAGAGCTGGGAAGCTTTCTTCTGTGTCGGTGAGTGAGGCAGAAAAGAAACCTCAGCGCTTGGCTGTTTTCCTCAGCAGAAAACCTGGCGAGAAGACTTATCGCCGTCTCCTTCAGAACATCCTAGGTTTTTTTTCTCTTGTTCCCCGATCTCCCCCACCAGATACAGCTGGTGGTAATTTTGCAGCTAATGCCCAACAGCTCTGCTTGGATCCGGCAGGGCCACTGCCCTGTGAAGGTGGCAGGACGCTCACGGGAGAGCAGATGTGATCCTGACAGTGACAGACCGAGGAGGACGGGCTGGGGCTGGTGGGGGTGTGAGCTGCTGTAAGAGGCCATAGCTCCGATGGCGCGGGGATGCCAGCTCCTCGCCCTGCGAACTCATGTCAGTGCCGTCGGCATCTTGTATCACTGGCAGTTTTGTACCTGTCTCTGGAATTAGCAGGAAGGACAAACCCAACCTGCATTTCAGTTTATTTTCCTGGGTTTTGAGCTTTGTTACTCTAGAGGGTATTTTTCAGTATTTCTCGCTCCTCCCAGCTAGCACGGGGAGGAGGAGAGTATCGACCAGTTTGCTTTACACCCCGTACTTGCTCTGCTGAGGGTTTAACACTCAGCGGCCTGAATTTTCAAGGCTTATTTGTTTGCATTTTGGGTTTCCCAACTCGCGGCCGGTGATGCCTCATTTTCATGGGTACGATACATCCACAGACCGCCGACAACGCAGTCGAAAGTATCTGGGGAAAAGACAGCCCCGCCAGCTTTGCCTTCTGCCGTCGGCCCCTCCTGCCCGGCGGCGGCCCTGTTAGCGCAGGGAGATGTCTGGACACAAGATGGCGCCGGTTTGCAGTCGGGGGGCCTGCCGCTCAGTTCAGCTCAGCTCTTCGAGCAGAGGGACTCCCTGTTAACACCTCGAGTAGAGGTGGCCACCTTTCGGACCACCGCCGCCACCCCTGCTGGCTCCTTGCTGGAAAGCGGTGGCCTCCTGCCGAGGCTGCCTCTTGGGCGAGCTCCTCTGGGCAAAGGTGGAGGGGAAAGGGTGTGGGCCCGTGGGCTGATTTCAAGAGGATGCAGGTGTATCCCTACCGACCGTAAGCCTTGGCTGCTGGTGTGGGTGGTGGGAAATGGGCAGGTTCCCAGGCGTTCCCTTGTCGCAGCTCTGAAAGGGAAAACGTGGAAAACCATGGCGGTCCGTGAGACCAGGGGGGGATTTCCAGAGGCCGCAGGGACGGGACTGTTCTCCTCCTTCTTTCCCGCTCCTCACCCTGCCGGCAAGTCAGAAATCTGCCAGGGGAAAAGAAGGTGGGGTGGGGAGGTCACCTTTGGAGGCAGTGTAACCAGAAATAGAAATATTTAGGGAACAAGAACGCAGCAGTCGCCAACAGGAGGAAGAGGAGACTTTTGTCTCTTCTGAAGGGTAGAACAACAGAAATTGGGGGATAATCAAAGCAGCTACGGAAACGTGGTGAATCCATTGTCATTAAGCAGCTCCGCCTGATTGCGTTTCTCTTCCCGCAGGCCGTGTACAAGCTGGCAGACGTGGCCTGCAAGTGCCACGGCGTGTCGGGCTCCTGCAGCCTCCAGCCCTGCTGGCTGCAGCTGGCTGACTTCCGCAAGGTGGGCGACTTGCTGAAGGAGAAGTACGACAGCGCCGCGGCCATGAGGATCAGCCGCAAGGGCAAGCTGGAGCTGGTCAACAACCGTTTCAACATGCCGACGCAAGAGGACCTGGTCTACGTCGACCCCAGCCCGGACTATTGCCTGCGCAATGAGACCACCGGCTCGCTGGGCACTCAGGGTCGCCTGTGCAACAAGACCTCGGAGGGCATGGATGGGTGTGAGCTGATGTGCTGCGGACGGGGTTATGACCAGTTCAAGAGCGTCCAGGTGGAGCGTTGCCACTGCAAGTTCCATTGGTGCTGTTATGTCAAGTGTAAAAAGTGCACAGAGATCGTCGACCAGTACGTCTGTAAATGAAAAGAGCCACCAAAGCAACAAATCTATATTATATAAATCTATATAAATATATTTTATATTTGTATAAATAAACAGATGATGATAATAATTAAAGAAGCTTATTTAAGAGACATTTTGGTTTTGAAATTTCCCCCATCAGGCCGGCAGGTTTGCCATTCCTGCAGTGCTGCTGGGGAGTTTGTCTTTGGGTACATCTCCCCTTGGATGTTTTGGTCAGGGTGAAGAGGCTGAGGAGGTGCTGACAAAGTGAACCTCCCCGGCGCACAAGCACATGCTATTTCATTGCAGAAACAGAGCCAGTGAGAAGGAAAAGAGTGGCTTCTTTCTGCTCTCATCGGTAAATCTCAGCATTTTGCATAGTTATCGTACATCTGAAATTACAGCCAGACATGGGTGAGTCCTAGTTGTCTTGAGTTTCAAACCCTGCCACCCCACTAAACCCACTGGGAATTTGGAACCAATTCTTGATCCCTCGAAAGGGCTTTGTCACGCTAGAGGGAAGGTTAGCCAAGCCTCCTCTACAAGAATATGGCTTAGAATCCAGAGTCCTGTAAACCATTCCTGGACACTGCACAGACCACAATGTGGTGGAGGAAGGTTTACAATCTGCTGTTGTGAGGAAGAAAGGTGTGACCTGTGGCTGACCAGTGCATAGCCTGGGAGTCCCCACAAAGCCAGCACCTAGCTCTTCTGTACCACCCGGGCAAAGGGGAAGTCTGTCCAGCTCAGATTACAAGGCTATGTGCATGAGGGAGATTTTTTTTTTCTTCCCCTTTTATTCCCGCGCTGAAACTTAATTTGTCAATACAGAGGAGAAGCTGCCGGTGCCTAGGGATGTTTGCAAAGGTAATATACTTCATATTTTGTCAGTAGAAAGAAGCATTGCATGCATACATGTGCACAAGGCTGCATAAGCACTCCTCATACCACTGCCGGTTTTCCTCTTTGAAGTGGGTGCAGGTGGTCACCTTGTTCAGCTCTATTAAATCCTCCTCGCCGCCATCCCAGATGTATAGTTCCTCTTTAACATTAAACACCCCTCAATGACATTTCTTTCCCTCTGTTGGTTGTATATATGTGTGTTTTTGTTTTATTCTTTTGGTGGGGTGCCTTTTATTTTGCTGCTCTGTATTTCAGAGTCCGGGGGCCATGCTCTTCGCCGGCATAAGCTAATCACAGATACGTTTGCTCCCAGAATGCGGGCGTATGGTCACCGGTGGAAATCTTTTCTGTGTTTTTCATTGGTAATAAAAGAGTGTAATAAAATTGTACTAGGGCAGAAGGCATTACCAAAGTCTGCTAATCAGTCTTACCACGTTGGAATTTTAGTAGAATCCAATTCATAAAGCAGGGAACAAATGCTGTTTCTAGCACAAGACATTTCCTGTGCCTCTCAGCATCTGCAGAGTTCATTTGCAGTCAGAACAATCAAGAGAAACCAGTCCCCAAAATGTAAGGGTTTGCTAATATACATCCTCTTTGTTACTGACATTCCAACGGTGGTGTTTTTTTTTACTGTAAATTTAAAAATGCGTAAAATATGCCAATAAGCAAAGAGCCAGCCATGAAGATTATTATTTTTATATTAAACCTCTGTTTCTTATAAAGCATTGTAGTTTTACAGATTCCACCATTTCAACCACCAGAGAAGAATTTATATGTACCTTTCATACTTCAAATATTTGAGGACTCCAGAAAAGCACAAGGAAGAAAAATTATGTTTAATAATTAGGAGCTGTTGTTTTTTTAAACCAATGTGTCCAGTTTTTATTTTATTTTATTTTTTTTAATCCAACAGGCAATATATTTGCTGGCATCCCAGAATGCAGTTTCTTGGAATATAAACAGTGGCCTAGATTTATTTTATTATATAAAATCCAAAGCCAGTGGTATTGTAATTCAAAGTAACGGAAATAGTTTTCCATGCATGGAAAAAATGTGAGTGCAATGGTCTGATCCAACTCCCATTAAACTTCAGTGGGAGCTGGACTGAGCCCAAGATCGGATCAAATGTGTGAGCTATTCACTCCTGGGATACTATACGTCTCTAGCCCAGTAATAAAACTTACTCTACCTTGGATACATCTAAAAAAGACCTTTCCTCCCACCACCCGCACCTCATGTTCATGTCCATCCTTATTGCGTCAGTGCTTAAAGGTGCCGGCTATTTGTATATGGCACCCTCAGGCATTGTTAATGTGTCTAATAATTCCAAATGATTTCATTTGGCCTACCCGATAAAGACCACACATTTAAGGGAGTCACAACTCTCCTTGCAGTTTGGCACCACAATTAATTCTGTGGGCGTAAACAACTTCGGGAGTGGAAAAGTTGGCATTGTTAGGGCTAGTATTCGTCTGGATGTCTCTGGATATGTCCTTCTTTTTCCACCTAAAATTTTGTCTGGATGGAAAAAAGATGATTTTTGGCCTTTTGTCCCAGCACTCTGGACCTCTGGCAGCCTGGTTGGAGCCAGCAGTTCCTCTTGGAATGGGACCATATAGCGATAGGAGAGAAGTGACCACTGGATTTCTGCACACCCCCTCCCCTCCTTTTACAAGACCCAGGTTTCAGTCGTCTTGACTTTCTGGGAGTTTTGTATGCATAAATTTGATCCCAGTAAACTCTACCTTAAAACTTAATTTCTATGGCGCCCACACATAAAAGAACCTCCTTAGGGTGGTAGTAAGTATAAAATAAGAGCACAGACGATTTGGTTTGATGCAAAGCCAAGGAAAGTCAAACAGAAAGCTGCAGCAGAACTGCTTCTTTACCATGGAAGTTAAAGTGGTGGATTCTAAGTTGTGCCTTGTTAGGTGCACAAAGCGGTAGAGGGATGTGGGGGTGGGGAGCTAAGCTCGATTCTGAGCTCTGCCGATTATCTGCTTTGTAATCTTCAATGAGTTGCTTAATTTCTTTGCATTTTAGCCTCCAGCCTCCTCCTGTATAAAATGAGGAGCGGAATACCTCCTTTTTCTCTAAAGCTCTTTGAGAAATATGGCTGAAAAAAACCGTAATTGAAGGCCTACCCTCTACGCTCATTAACTCTAGCAGGCAGACAGCTGTATCCCCATTGTGCGGGGACACGCTCGATTCGGGACAAAGAGGCTCAGCGGCACCTCGGAGGGTCAGATGCTCAGAGGTGGTTGCTGGGGGGCTCAGCGGGAGCCTCGGAGAGTCTGTTGCAGCGAAGCCCTACTCCAGCACAATGCTGGAGGGAAGACCATTCTACAAAAGAGAGGTGAACTCGGGGCTTCTTTGTTTATGGGTACTGAATATCTAGGAGCAAGAGCGAGTTAGCCTGGTTTCTGAATCAAATACCTGCCTGCTTACATTCTGTTTGCAGTTTCATGTGGATAAGATATTCACACAATACGCTTTTATATAGTGTGCGCTGGTGAGTGGCTGCTACATTCCAACCCTGAAGTCACTGCACTTCAAGGTTGATAGAAATGACCACCCGTAAGTCATGTAAAACTAAAATATTTTGGAGTTAAAGGCACTATGCAAATATACGGTTATTGCAAGTCAGTGAACATCAGCTCCTAAACGGAGCAGAACAGGATGCAAATCTGTCATCATTTTCCAACTGGCTAGTAATACATAAGTTATAACGTGAATGAATGAGGCCTTAGTATGTTCTGCTGTGAGGTAAGCTAAGCAATAGCTGATCCCCGAACAAAGGGAAACTTTCATGTGATATTAATTATGGTAAAAAGATAGCGGCAGGGTTGTGAGAAAATTTAAATGAACTTTTTAACACCGCTGGACTCTAGGTCATTTGCATCGTTTGGAGGCTCCCATGCTTTGTCCCCCAAAAGTCTGTGTCTACCCAGAGCTCAATGTAACGGAGAGACTGCTGCCTTTTGCAATTCAGGAAACAGCCAAGTTGAACCCAGACACGCAGCGTGAGTGTAACTTACACTTTCTATATGGACCCAGGTTTCGTGGCCCTGACAAAGCACAAATGAAGCAGATCTTGTTCAGTCATATAAAATCAAACATGCAAGGGTCTCTCTCTGCTCACTTGACCGTGTCCAGGGAGAAGCCTAGTAGGTTTAAATTACGCTGTGGGAGCAATTCCTAATCACCTGTGGCTACAGAAATACAGAGGGTATTTTCATCAGCTGACGCAGACACAGAACATCCCAAGGAGACCTTGGGAAATACCTTCCAGCGACTAAAGGGCATTTCTCAAGTGCCTGTCACAAGGTTTTCCAGAACCTACTGCTTATATAGTCATTCACTTTCATTTAGCTTTTCTTTAACTACATGTCAGGTTAAACAGATTCGAGAAGATGATCTATGAAATCGAGTTCACTGAATGGCAGGCTCTGATGGAACTGTCACACAACAGACAGTGAGCAGATATGAACATAATATTGGATCCCCTTCTCCTCAAAGGTAGAGTTCTGGCTATGTCTAATCCATGGGGCCCAGAGATGTGACCCATCTCCTTGGCCCAGATGTGTATCCTGGCCATATCCTGAGTCCCTGCCAGGGCAGTGCAGGCACCAATACCCCATGTGCAAAGGCTGATGGATGCAGAGACCGTTGAGCAGGTAGCCTGTCCCAGCTCCGGTGTAGATAGTTGGTGGCTTTGGGACTGGGCCATGTCTTGAGCATACCAGCTCCGAAGTCTAAATATAACCGGCCTCAGAGACAAGCAAAACAAATTTCCATGGTCAACAGGACACATACCAGAAAGGAAAAAAAGAATTGCGAACAGAATCGCGAACATCTGTTGTAAATCCTCTAGTAACTATAATAAAAACCCCAGTATAATACAATGACCACAGCATGCTCATCCTTCAACCCATTGTCAATCTTCTCCTGCAGGGCCTGAAGCTGTTACTATACCCTCTTCTTTTTTAGCTCTCTTTAAATGACAGTTGAAATCTTTTTTTTTTTTTTTTTTTTCCTAGCTGAGGCTTCATTTTCCTCTTTTTTATGCTCTCTTTTAAAAACAGTTGAAATCTTTTTTTTTTTTTTTTTTTTTTTTTTTTGCATTAGGATTCAACAAGGCATGACCTACTAATAGCCTTTCCTCAAAGAGAGAAAGGGGGAACAAACAGCAGGGTCAGGAGTTGTCCCTGTGAGCAGGGATAAAACGCAGCAGCCATAAAATGGAGTACTAAATATTGCCCTGTGACA